TGTCAGGAATATCGTATAGACAGGGGTTAGACTGGAAGCAGTTACTGTGTTGGAGGTCTGGAGGTGAGATCGTAATGTTGGCATATAGGTAAATAACAGTAGTCAGGTGTTCTCCTCAGATGTGTCTAGCATGCAGCCTCTCTACTCTGGAGTGGGAGGGGTAATAAAAAGCTAACCCCCTAAATTCTGCACTGGGACTTCGGTTGCGGCGGTAAGATTTTAATGCAGACACAACTGCAAAATCCACTTCAAACAGGTCATGAGTGTGACAAGCCTCAACTAGTTGTCCCTTGAGCTCTACAGTCAAGCAACGCTAAAGCTGCTTCCTCTGTTTCAGGCATCCCCCCCCCGCGATGGTGTGAGTAGCCGGGAAGTGACAACTTCTCAAACACTTCCATGAGTACACAAAGACCTCCTGACAGTGATGTAAGCAAAATTATTTTACTTACTATCGCAGAATACATCAAACTAAGACACCATTAAGGTGGAGACAAAGAAAGATCGCTTGCAGTTTAGAAAAGTATTCCACTAGGATACACAGGATTTTGTCGAGTTTTCTGACACTTCCTTCTTGATGCTGTCAGTACATTTTGCGGGATACAAGGTAGGGGACATTTACGCATAAAGCTAAACAGAGTTTACTCTTAATTACTGTGAAACCTAGTGACCAGAGCAGGTATATGAGATGGGAGGAGAAAGTTCCAACTGACAACAATTGGGATTTATTCCAATTCATTCAACTCCTTGATAAAAAGTAACATGACGTCAACTGGACAGTCTTTGTCCCGACCGATAGCTGCTACCCTGACGTGATGGTCGGGCTTGCAAATCGCGATTACCCAACAAGCTGCACTGGCTGGAACCAATGTTCCTGCAGGTCCTACCATACCGGGAAGGTTATTAGGAGAACGAATAGACTAAAAGCAGTTACCGGCATTGTGTAAGAATCTTTCTTACACTATGCTGGGCGTCTGAGGGCGAAGTCGTACTGCTGGGGAACAGGAGTGTAACAGCAGTGAGGTGTTTCCTTGAGATGACCAGCATACCAGCCATGCTGTCTCCCCACTCCGGAGAGAGGGGATTAGAAAAGGTCGACCCGGAAAATTGTACATCCCGACTTACCCCACCTACGGTGGGCCGTAACCGGTGGTTAGTCTACTAATACGGAACCACTCCCAGAAACCAGTTCATACAGCCCGTGTGTGACCGGCTGACCTCAAGCAGTTGTCCCCTGGGCTTTGCGGTCACGCAACACTAACCCTCTTTCTGTTTCAGGTACCCGAAGAATCAATCAATTTCCACAGTGTGGGCAGCCGGTAAGTAACAACCGCCGACACACTTCCAAAAGCACACGAAGCCTTCCTGAGCATTATTCTCCTTTACTCACATCACCTTGCTTCTCTACCACAGACAGGACAGTCCTTGTAGTAGACGATACATTTACTAAAAATCTATAAATACACCCCCGACTTTCGAGTAGAGCATTCTGAATACTGGTTTTCGTGAGGCAAGTAGAGGATTTATTAATGTTTTAAATCACAGTGTTTCATGATTAGTCACTTAACATCGATCCCATCTGACGAAGTGGTTATTCCAGCATGGAACTCCAAGTACTCAACTAGTGATATTTAACAAGACTCGTAATGCGGGGGGGGGGGAGACTAAGTTGTCCACTCATGTGTTGTAGTGTAGCCATTTTAGAAGTATTCAGTCCATCCAGATTCTTCAACTCCTGACTGACTATTTGTCACGCTTCAGAAGAATTAATTCGCTATAGAATAGATTAGGTTTTTGTTTTAGCTAGGATCGTAGGTGAACCGATCACATTTCCACCTTCGAGCAGTTATTAAAACATCGTCACATGTATTATAGCCCATGAATTGTAGTGTTTCTGTCGGTGGTATAAAGCCTACTATCGGCCCAGTTGAATGACTGAGTGGTTTCAACATAGAACTACTCTGCACCGATGTGCAACAGTTCAATTCGCCACACTCCCTCTCCATGTAGCGCACAAACCAAGAGAAGAAAGTAAGTCGAAATGCAAAACAGAAACAGTGATATAAGGCTAGAAGAAAAGTAACATCGAAGAACGATTTAGTTTCATTACGTATTATAAGTCACAAGGAGTGGACGCATCTGTGCTTTCATTGAGATATATCACCAATTGTCTCCATCCTTCATTGGTTTTTACCGTCACGAGGACCCCAACCAGTCAGTCAGGAAGTCTACACATTCCTACGTGACTGGCTTAAACTAACTGTTGTGGATTTCTTCGACTGATAAGGCCATGTTTCCGTTTGACCGCTGCTAGCTCTTCTCCAACCTGACTCTATGTCAGCTAACATTACCCGTCGAGGAAGGCGATGACTAGGTATACATATTACCTGTCTTAACCATCTCAATCGGTGCAGCTTCACAGCCTCGTCGATTGATTTCCCCTCCCTCCTTACGGAGCACTCGATCGATGCTTAACCTGAATATTGCTCACCTTATTATACCACTTTACACGGGAGATAGAACGCAGGCACCTACGATCAAAGACAGCTAGCTAGTTTTTTCATATCTTTCACTCTCAATGGCCATGTCTTACAGCTATAAAGAAAGAGGGAGCGCACTGCTGAGTAGTACACACGCCCTTTGGTTGACAGTTAGCCGGATATCACGTTTATGCCAGAGACGGCGTAAACTGGCATATGCGAAACTAGCCCTCAGTATCCGTGCTGAGATTTCGTCAGAGATCAACCCATTGGGGCTGATAGTATTTCCCAAATAAGTGAAGCGGTCAACGTGCTCTACCACTTCACTCCCTATTTCTAAACTAGGAGTCAGTGTAGTCCAGTCCTGTAACATCATCTTACATTTGGCGGGAGCGAAATGTTGATTGTTCGGCAACCTCTACAGACTAAATAATTTTGAATTCAGGAATTGCTTTCACTATTCATGCTTCAAAACTAATAATAATTCTTATTGATTAACAAATCACCATATGGTTGGTATAATATTAATGTAAAACTGTATATTAGTGTGGTAATTGCTGTCGGGGAATAAACTGTAAATAAAAGCATACTTCGCTCAATTTTTTGGCTTTTCCACAGATATTAAAGACTGTTGAAAGCCCAGTGAAATACGCTAAAGCATTCCTCATATAAGCACGTACTGTGAATAATATCATACCAAATGAACTGATTTTGTGCGACATCAAACATGATTTATGTTTGATGTCACTGTCACAAAATCGAAGACTTATAAGCGAAAACCAACCGAAAAACTGGCCGAAGAAGCAGCCAGCGAAGACAGGACTCCATATGAACATATAAAAGACGGAGGTTATGAAAATAATCAACCAACCACAACAACAACATCCAGCGCCAATCACCATCAACGGGAGCCATTTGAAAGAGGTTACTTCATTCACTCATTTATCTAGGGAGGGAGCATTGTCTCAACTACACGCAGTCGGAACCGACTAGGATGTTAAATCGAGCGAGAATCGGGAAGGCGGGAACACATTCATCAAACTAATACCAATCTGGAAATCTTCGTCACTCAGCATCAACAACAAAATTCGGTCGGATTTCCAATACATACGTCAATTCAGTTGTTCTATACGGATCAGAAACTTGGCGGGTCGGTCAGAAAGAATATTCCTAACAGGCTAACTCAGACCTTCATCAACAACAACTGTCTTCTCTGGCTCTCTACTGAAGATCAGATGGCCGGGCCGGAAAGATTCACCAACAAGAAACTATGGGAACAAACAAACAAAACAAGAGCCAATCGCCAACCAACAAATATGCAGGAGAAAGTGGAGACGACACATTGGACACTCGCTGAGGAGGCCGCTGGTTGACATCGCGCGCGCGTCAGGCCATTGCTCGAGTGGAACCAGGCCGAAAGGGAAGCGGCGAGTGGGACATCAGTCCAAGGGTGACATGGAGGTGATCGTGCGAAGAGGAGTTGAAAGAGTATGGACTAACATGGATGCAAGTGAAAAGTACAGCAGAAGGAAGACAGAAGTGGCAAATGGAGACGTGCAGTTGAAGCCCTATGTTCCACTAGGAACCCAAGGGAACAATAATAATAAATGAACTGACTAACTTCTGGTATAGAACTAAGCACAGAAGTGCAACAATCTCCACATTCCATGCAGGGGACGGGGAGCGAGGGGAATCAAACTCAAAAGACCTTCAAGTGTGAGGATCAGAGAATTTCAACATCGAAAAAAACACTAAGGAGATTACAAAGAATGGATACATCTGAGCCGCTATGGACGATTTCACATATCATCAGTAGAATCAAGTAATTGTTTCGTAGAATCCGGGGAATCCAAACTAGGCAGGTTACACCTCACTCCGTCGCTGGCTCAAACTAACTGTCAGATATATAATGAAAATGTAAGGGACTAAGTGCCGTTTAACCGTATTTCATTGTTTGTGAATCAAGCAACCAGATGCATGTGTTACGTATCCCTAACCATCGACTTTCTCGACAATGGGCAATCTTATCAGATATAGGGTCAGGTTGGAAAAGTGCCAGTGGTTGTCAGACCAAAAAATTGTTTCATCAGTCAATGAAATCCACAACACTTAGTTTAAGCCAGCCACGTAGGAAGGTGTAGACTTCCTGACTGACTGGTTGGGGTCCTCGGGACGGTAAACATCAATGGCTGGAGACAATCGGTGTTATGGCTCAAATTCGTTCTCAGTGGCGCAGAAACATCCACTCCTTGGAACTTATAATACCCAATAAAACTATATTGTTCTTCCATATTACTATTGTTTTTGCTTCCTTTCTCTGTTTTGCATTTCCTTTTACTTTCTCTTGCTTTGTGTGCTACATGGAGTGTGACGACTCGAACTGCTGCACATAGTAGCAAAGTTCTATGTTGAAACCAGTCAGTCAGCCTATCAACTGATTTGAAACTTCAGTCAGGATATTCGAAACTGACAAGCGAATATATACAGCAAAGAAAAGAGCTTTTTTAAGTTTAATTTGTCTTTTCAAGACAATCAACAGTAGTAGTCATCCCTTAGAATAGCTAGAATAATTGATGTGAAACGACATCGGGAGTTAAACTACTACCTTAGTATGCTATGCAATAACCTAGGAATCTATTATTTGCTATCTGATAGTTCAAAACACATTCAGAAACACAGAAGACAAAAAACGTGAATATGTAGACAGAGAAGAGGTGATTGTTTAACTTGGAAAGAAAATGTTTTAATTATTCATTACAAATATTTATGCAGTTACCTATTAGAAAAAAGCCTTAGATGGGACAGAAATTTGCAGTCATTCTAAAATACAGTGGAAACTAAAGCATGACCACGAATTTGCAGCAATCAGTATAGTTTGGCGACTTTATGCTGATTTCTTTGTTTCGATTATAAGAGGACCAACATTGTCTCCAGTTTCCTCATTATGTTTGTTATGGGTTCCATCGCATAAGGGAAACTAAGAAAATAGACGTTTGATATAGGGAACGTACCTTAGATGACCTCCAGCAACGGCAATAAACCTTTTTCTCTGTTATGTTTTCGATATCCACAATATCCACACACTTGGTGATATGTTTTTTAATATCATAATTAACAGGCGCCTTTATTTTTCCAAGACGGAGCATTGCAGTAGTGTATACAGCATAACCAAGGGCACCACTCAATGAGCCGAAAGCAGTTAGTGCTATTATATCCTTGACTGTAAACACTCGAAATAATACTATAAGAGCTCACATGACAGTCGGAAAATACCCCCAAATGACTTAGGGATTGGTACTGAACGTAGCATATCTGGTACGATTTCACAGACTACTGTGTGTAGAATATTCATCTTCGAACAAGACGTTGTAATTTATACGCGCGCCAAGGTCAGGTTTAAGCTTCAATGTCTCATCTTTCTTTCAATCTCAAATATCTTCTTGAAAACCTTGTATGAACCTTATCATCTATTAGTGTTCATATCTTATTGTTTTAGAACGGTGCTAGGTTTTGGTGGAATACAATGCTATCCATCTGCACTCGTACTGAATTTTTATAGAACATGGTAAAAGATATTTCAGCGGGGATGTATGTTTTGCATGGGGATAGCGACGCTTCTTTGAGTTGTAAACTTCATCTCGTCGATCAAAACACTCTACATGAGGAGGTAACAAGCTGTTTGAAGAGGAATCGAGAGGATGGTTAGGTAAATCAAATATAAGTTATGGCATGATAATTTGGTATAAAGCAAGTAAGACAGAGGAAACAGATAGAGAGAAACAGAAATCAAAGAAGATAAAACTTGTGAGGAAAAAACTGCTGAGGAAAAGTGTATTAAAATAATAACAGTATAAAAATACGTGAGGCATTTTTACCGGTACTTTCCCCCGGAATTATCCCCTTCTGTGGTTTTACACGAACGTGTTGTTTCTGTGTTATTGTCTAACTTTCCCTTAAAGCTGATGGCCGATTCAGCGGTTGCAGAGTCGACTGGCAGTGAATTCTACAGTTGGATAACCCTTTGTCTCTGCTCTCCGGTAGGCGATTCTGTTAGGGTGACCTCGATGAAAAATCCCCGATATCTGTGAGTGACGAAAACTAGCTGGTTTCTGTGGCCCATATCTGCAGGCATACATATTTGTCTTGTAGCTAGATCGATTCTCCCCCATTTTCCACGGTCCTCACCTTTTTGCACAGAAACGCGCTGAGTTGGCATTCTAGGTTATCCCAAAGGCTGTTTGCAAAAACGAAAAATGGCAATGGGCCAAAGATGCTACTTGCAATATCTAAGCAGTTGCTCCTCTCAATGTCTAAACCACTCCGTTCACCATCGTAGGAATTTTAGCACCCTCCTGGCAGGTTCTTATACCATATTGTGTTGCACTGCCTATTCCCGCATTGGAGACTTCCCAGAGCATGAATTTGTGAAATTCAGTCGGGGGCTTTGTAAGCGTATGGAAACAATGTTTGTAATGAAATAAACTGGCCCCTGAAGGCTGTTCAGTTTTTCCGAGATTTCAGCAAACTAACAGAGGAAGACTGTTACTAGTCGAAGGCAGATGCGCAAGATTCTGTTGTGGCTCAGATGTTTCGTCACATGATCTTCAAGCGAGCTTCCTATCATCTTGTTGTCAGTAGGGCTGAGAGTTTATTGCTATTGAAATTTTGTCTATTCCGTCCTCTCAAAGTAGCCGACAGGATAATCCTCCCTCAACTTCTCAGCGAGAAGCATTCATCTAATGAGTAACTAAAGTACTTATTGAGTGAACAAGCAGAACTTAAGAGCGTTCCCTGAGAACCACTAATTTGATTCAGTTGCACCTGAGGATTCTTTTGGACGGGGTTTTGTTAGCTTCCCCATGCTCCAAGTTATTCAATGAGGAGTAATTTTCGTGATGTCAAACTGCACCATGAACCGCCAGGGGACAGATACCTCATAGGCATCGTCATCCCAGGGATTCACTGCTAAAGTTTTCATCTGTCTCTAGACTACTTGCTTGATCGCCCCTCTGCGGCCTGACTACTTAAACTATTTATCAAATGCATTTTCATGGTCCATGAATTGATCGAAACCCTTGTGTTTAGTTTATGGTTTCCTGATTACATTTTCCTGGAGTGCTCTCCTTTTCCCTCAAACTTGAGTATTCATTGACTTCGTAGTTCTATATATGGCCTGAAAGTCTGCTTGTAAGATACCATTTTCCGGTTCTAGAGGAGATGCCCACTTCTTGTTTCCATCCAGTGGGCTCCATTTCGGCAGAGTTTCCACAAAAAGTAAGTTAAGCTGCTTGAATGACTGCGAACTCGCTCCTGGTTGGCTTCAACTAGGAATAACAGTTATGATTGTTGCGCGACTGTCTATCCTACTACAACAATTGGCCACACTACCAGCTGATGTTTTAGCCCGACCCACCTAACCTGCTTGCCAGGCTGTTCTTGACACCGCGCCAACTAGTGAAGGCAGACAGAAGGCTTACGGCTGCTGAAAGGTGCATTTATTAGTAGCAATGCGAAGAGGTTATTGAGATACACAGTCAAACTAAAAAGCCACGACTGAGATCTTGTCCCCTGAAAATCATATTAGCCACCATGTTTTTCACTCCCCACAGGTAAACAAATTTATCGTCGACAGTGAAACGGTCATGTTTCAGTCGATTTGACAAACTTCTGTGGTCGCCTAAAGGTGTACAATTATCTTAATGGTGACATCCTTGGTAGTTCTCTTGACAACTCTCTTCACCTCTGGTGCACATGCACCATTGGATAACATTTGGTCCTACAGAGATCCGTAAGCACGAGTAATCACGAACATGTTGTCGTCTACGGACGGAAAGCAGTTGTTATGTACTCATCCAGTAGTTAATAGTCCTGACGAGGAAAGAGGAAAATCAGAAGATCACCTCGTTCACAATGATACTTGTATTTTCCAAATAAGGAAAAAAATGACTGTCACACAGGTGTGTGAGTGAAAGGGTTAGGGTACGAAATGTGTGAACAAGTGTATATAAAAGTGTTCAAAGCAAGAGTATATATGAAATGATTAATATACATAAATCAATAAGGTAGACAGTAGTTTTTTCTTACCATCATTAGGTTCTGATTGGTTGTAATGTCATGTGATAAAAAGGTCATACATTGTTTATCTAGTTAATGGACAGACAAGCATATTGTGGATTATAATGATATATTGACCAATGCACACACAGCAAAACATATCAGACTGTCAAACAAAACAGACATCATGTGACTACATACCACCTCCCCTTTTGAGAAGATTGATGATTAATAGCGTGCTTTCTTGGGGTTTATCTGGAACCGTTCAGTTTGTTGTCGACGTCTGTTGCTTGTCTGCTTGTTGAGTTTGCGGCTTCTGCTTTGTCTGGAGTCGTCTGAGCTGCGCAGTTCTGCTTTTCTGTTTTGTCGGTTGTAGGTAAGTTAAAAGTATCTAAGAGTATATCCAGAGGTAGAGATGACTGTGTACTGGTAGGGATATTTGAGTTTCTTGGACGCAACTGATTGTAGTGACGGGTCCATAAATCATTACCAACTTTCATGTCGTACATAACTCGACCACGTCGTGCTGCGATGGAACCTTTATTCCAAGGTTTATGTCCTGCTCGATAGTCGCGGACATAGATAGCGTCACCAACATCAAATTTTTTCCATTCCGAATTGACGCGTTGGCACGTTTGGGTGTCGGTGGTAACATTGAATTGTGAGTCGTTATAAGTTTGCGTCCGTAAAGAATTTCTGCTGGTGATTTCTTGTTCTGTGTTGACTCATTCGCTGTTGTACCGTACACCATCAAGAATTTTGGGATGATGTCAAATGGTGTCCTCTCTCCCTCTGCTTTGAGTAAAGCTCTCTTCGAAGTGTCGACAAAACGTTCGGCTTGGCTGCTTGATTGAGGATGATACGGTGGTGTGAACATATGCTCGATAGTATTTTGACAACAGAACTGATGAGAGGTAAACTGCAAACATTGTCTGTAACTGTGGTTTCTGGGAGACCATGATGGGAGAATATGTCAGTGAGAGCCTTGAGAGTCTGGGACTTTGTTGGCGAAACCACTGGTACAACTTCTGGCCATTTCGAAAAATCGTCTACCAACACCAGATAATATGCTCCATTTATAGGACCAGAAAGGTTAATTTGAATTTAGGGCCTAGGATGGTCCGAATTTCCGCTGCGATGTCACCTTTGAATTCTAGGTTCATGAAGAGAGTCTTCTTAGGAACCGTTGTGATATTTGACACCGGAGGCTTCTCCTTCATGTTTTTGTTGATGAATCTTGGTGGATACCCATTCTCTAGTAGGGTTTCACTCAATAAATTTAATTCTTTCTCTACCGTGTCTTCCGAGCAGATTTTTCTAATCCTTGAGCACAATCACGTACCGAGTTTCTCTTTCGGATCAGTGGAACAAAGAGAAACCGGTAGGTACATTGTGCTCAAGGATTAGAAAAATCTGCTCGGAAGACACGGTAGAGAAAGAATTAAATTTATTGAGTGAAACCCTACTAGAGAATGGGTATCCACCAAGATTCATCAACAAAAACATGAAGGAGAAGCCTCCGGTGTCAAATATCACAACGGTTCCTAAGAAGACTCTCTTCATGAACCTAGAATTCAAAGGTGACGTCGCAGCGGAAATTCTCAGAAACCTCCTTTCAAAAAGTATGAAGAATGCATTCTCAACAGCCGCTCTACGTGTAACATTCTCCTGCAGACAGTTAATCTAGTCTAACGTTAAGGACAAGATACCGCTGTTGGCCACTTCAATGTGTATTTATCAATTCACTTGCTCGTGTGGAGCAAAGTATATCGGCCGTACGCATCGTCAAGTCCACAAACATTTCCTGGAATATTGCCCAGCTTGGTTAGCCAGAGGAGAAAAGAAGAATAGCAACAGCTCGATCCTCGGACACCTTGTCATTTCCGGACATCAAGCACCCCCACATGAATGCTTCGCGGTGGTACACAGAGTCCCTCAATATCGTACAAAAGGACTTCGGATACGACATCTGTACATAGCTGAGGCATTAGCTATTCGAGACATAAAACCGGACCTATGCATACAAAAACGATACATACATTCTCTGGCCCTACCATGGCCAGAGTAAATTTCCTACTATAATTTTGCTCCTCGCTTTTAATATGTAAGTTCACTACTATCATTATTACTGTTATTATTACTTTTACTATTATTACTACTCCCACCAACAACATTTTATTACCACTCTATTACTGTTTATTAATAACACTGCTTTTTCACACAGATCTTATACAAAACTAATTTATAGCCTTTCCACTAGTTCCTGTCCATTCTACACTAGCTTATTGATTAGTCATTATCTCACACTTATTAGGTCATCCCGAATTCTGCCTCCTTTCTAACTTACAATTAGTCATCCCTTC